CGGTAACTAGAACACCCGGCTGTAGTCTCGTTCTGCCCTACTCAGGTCAGTCTAAAGATGTAGGCAGTGAGTAAACGGGAAGAGGGCCCCAATCCCTCAGGATCACTTCGGGCGGCCATCTGCTGGGCTTTCGTATTGGTTGGGCAGTGGCCCGGTAGCCAACGGGTAATTGGTTAGGGGTCGCCCCGGGTGCAACTGAGGCACCATAAAAAGAATTCGGACTGACTACATAGTCAGCAGGGACGTCAGCTGGAGCATCGCGGCGCGACCCAGGCATTGAGGGGGAAGGCTGTTGCTGCGTCCCGGCGTTTACCGGAGTTGATCGGAAAGTGGTGCTGCACTACTGGAAGAGGTGAGATTAAATCCGCAAAGGACAAGATATCCACCTAGAGCTCGCTCCTCAAAAGAAACGGTTCGATAGTGCCCCATGTTAGTAGATTTACATGCATGTAAAAGATATTCAAGCCTAAATGACGCCTCTGAGCTAAATTCAAATCGCCTGTTCTTCGCCCAAGAAATAATCCCTTTCTCCGCTAGTTGGTGAAAGGAGCGTAGCTAAATTTGCGTGGTCAGAGAGAAGAGCGGGCCTAATGTCCCGAATCTCGCCACGTAAAATTAATTAATTGAATTGAATTCAGTTCAATTCAGCTTCCACTTCAGACACACTACTGCATACTCACTCTGACGGACTGACTGCTTACTACTTCTACTTCTTACTTGAATACATACACTGACTGACTCGCGGCTGCTTACTGCCTGCCTGGTTGACTACTCGCGGCCGCCGGCAGCGACTTTATGCCAGGCCGGCGCCCGCCTCGAACCATCGGGAACATGCGGAACTTTTCTACGAAACTCGTGAACGGAACCGTCCAGTTCGGGGGGAGGGAGGCGCTGGCAGATGACGCAATCCGCGCAGCGTATACCGGTAGGTGATGCAATATTCCTTACAGTATGAATTTTAATGTATTGTTTACCCTAAAAATAATCAGTTTTAAGCCACTTCAAACAAATAAGTGTACATATTTAATTGAAAAACTAAATATGAAGTATTCTACTTTTTCAATATCTACATTTATGGTTACTAACTGGTAAACTATATTGTGTTTTGTAATAATCCCCCTCCCTGTCATGACGAGGGAGAAGGATTATTAATTAAGTTTGCACTGGCTTTCTGACTTCGTGGGATGCGGGAAAGAAGAAGATATCACACGCATTCATTACAAACTAAAAAAATTCACACATTTTGGTTTCTAATTAATGTAATATACTGAATTATTATGTGATGCACACATAGCGAAATACATAGCGGCTCATTTAGCAAGGAGTTAGTATTATAAACAATTCATCTACTGTGGTTAATATTCAGCCTTCATCCACTTCAGAAACCTCTGGAGAGACGCGCAGAGAAGGGGCCCAGCGAATAGAAATGCGGGCCCTTTGCCTCGCCGGCGAGGGCGAGGAAGCCAGCGGCGAACGGATAATGGCAGCTGGGAAATTATCGAAGAATTGGCTCCAACAGATTCTGGCAATTGGCGTCCACAAAATATCCCGTCACCATGCAACCCTAGCCGAGATTGACTGCGGAGGAGCGGTCAATCTCGGCTACGGTTGCCTGATGTTCACGGAGCACCACTCCGTGACAGGTTCCTCACCGATCAACTGCAAGTCTTGCATTCCACGGCTCCGGCAGGAACCACGCTCTCCTTCAAGAGCCGGAGAAGCTGCTCGAAGCTAGCCAGACGGAATTTTGGATCTGAAATAATGTATATTTTTACTTAGCTTACTGCGAAGCATATTCTGCTACTCATTCATCGGCAAAATAGTCTTCCATTCGTTCCATTTAACGAAGGCTATCGGAGTGGAGTCTGACCTTGCGCGATCAAATATCGGCGCACGTCCGTTAAAATTATTCGTAAAAGTGGCTATATTTCCGAAAATAGTAATTTTCTTGATTTTCCTTTCTTGGAAGGATCGAAGCCCTGGCATCAAGTAACGGCTGGGCCGTGTTGTTCCCCTTAGTTAAGTTTGAAGAGACACGTCTGTGTCCTCTCCAAAGTTCTTCCGTCAAAAATCGCGGAGTCGCGAGCCGAGGGTGGGAGGACGTTCCTTTCCTAGAAGGCAGTTAAGAAGCAGGCGGTATAGTGATCTCACCAGCGCGGCCGAGGACCAGTGGCAGTGAAGGGCGGCTCTTCGCCCGCCCGCCTTCATACGGCGCATATTCGCGTATATCGCGTGTTTCCGCTTCTAACCGAGTGAATCGATGTACTATTACAGTATTTGGATTGTAATTCACTTATTTGTTTCAAAAGGAATCTAGAAAAGGTCCTGCGTAGAGCATCAAAATTTACTTTCAGGCTTACCAAGAAAAAAGGAGTATGGAAGTCACTCGAAAGGAGGAGATTAAAGTCACGTCCCTATTCTATGTATAAAGTGTACACAGGCCTTCGAGACTGTGGTCTCGATATTTGAAGTCAATTAGGGAAACCTACATATATCGGCAGAGCGGATCACATGCGCAAAATTTAGACAAGAATTCAGAAAACGGACATTGGGAAATATTCATTTGCGAGTCGAACTATTAGGACCGGTTTCACCAAACAAAGAGTAAGAGTTTACTCTGGAGTAAATCATGTTTACTCGAGGGTAACTTCTTTGAGTGTTTCACCAAAACTTTCCTCGAGTGTTAATCGCTTACACGAGATTAAATTCAAGAGTAACTTTACACTGCGAAAATCCGTCGATTAAAATACGGTGTAAATTCAGTTTTCAACGTGCATGTATCTCCGAAGTGTTGTTACGGCTCGACGATTACGAAGGATTTGAAGACGATTCCAGCAAAGATTCGGAATATTATCCACTAGTGCGAAGACTAAGAGTCCGAGAGAGAATGGATTGGTTTTAATTATGACGATCGAGATTTTGTCACGAGGTTATGTTTGACCAAATCAACTGTATACTTCATCAGATACATTGTAGAGATACTTGTAGAGAACTTGTAAATTAATTTTTTCGCCCATGTTGATACGAAATAAAGGTATTACGTACCGTATAAGATAAAAGGAAAAATAATAACTACAGAGACTACAAGTATTAAGAAATATTTATTTAGTAAAAACTGTATGTGACGTATGGGGGAGATCATTTGCGCACGTTTTCTTGAGTTCCAGAATTCCTTTCCATCATTTTTACTATAAATAGTTGAAATTTGAATACAAGTTATAAAATAAAACAAATAATAATAATAATAATAATAATAATAATAATAATAATAATAATAATAATAATAATAATAATAATAAAATTTAGAATAACGTGAGATCAGCAACATTTGAAAAACTAAACATTTTCGTTCCCGAGTTGTAGAAAATTTATTTGCATCGCCATCTGTAAACGAACTGCAAATTTGATTTTTCTGCATTGCTAACAAAATAGTAATTCATCTCGAGAGAAGAAAAATGAATATTTATTAAGAAATAAAGATACAAAAACTAAGAAACAAACTATGCCCACTTAAATCACGATAACACCGCACAAGATAATAACGCCATGAACTCCGAAACTGAAATTAATGATAGAATATAAGGAATTAATCAAAGGTTCGCGTTGTTCCGCAGTGGTTCCCAGCGTCATTCTCGCTCACAGCTTTTTGAATCGCTCTTAAATATTTGCGCGTTCAGCCGATTCGCGGAGTAAATCGGAGAGTATGCACTCTAGAGTAAAATAACCCTGTAGAAGCATGGTGAAGCGCTCATATTCCACTCGAGTATTACTATCTTAGAGTAAATGGTTACTCTCGGGTAACTACTCTCAACTTTACTCGGCTGTTGGTGAAACCGGCCCTCAGAGACTAGAACGGTTTGCCTGTGACAATCTTCGATCAATTTCCTCTAAGATTGTGATCCTCTGATATGTGCATTATAAATATCTTTATTATTATTATTATTATTATTATTATTATTATTATTATTATTATTATTATTATTATTATTCATATTATTATTATTATTACTATTATTATTATTATTATTATCTTTCATTATTCACAGTATCTACTGGTCGGTATGTAAACCACACACAGGAACGAT